AAAGCAGGTATCTGGGGTTTGTTTAGCTTCTATAATTGCAACATTGTTGCTTCTGGAGCTCAGAGCTGGGCCACGGCAGGCGGGGAACCTTGGCTTCCTTTATCACTGGAGCAAGCAAGCCTCATGTTTGCTTCAGCTGCATGGCTGCCGGCCGCCATCTTTGTTGGCAATTAATTTGCATATTCTGCTGATTAGCCAGTGGGAAGCATAGCAGAGGTATGGTTAATTACCATGTTCGTCTATTATTAGATAGGACTAGAGGCCCGCCAACTGCTCTCTCTTAGTCTGCCCTGCATCCTCTCCAATCTGGGACCCCTCGGACATCCCTGTCACAATCCAGGACCGCTGGCTCCTAACCGCTCATCTGCCTGCCTGCCTGCTCTCCCCTAACTGCTCTTCCCTGCCTGCCTGATAGCCCCTTACTGCTCTCCCCTGCTGGCCTGATTGCCCCTAACTGCTCTCCCCTGCAAGCTTGATCGCCTCTAACCACCTCTGCCTCATCCCCGCCACTGTGGCTTTGTCTGGAAGGACATCTGGTCTAATTAGCATGTTACCCTTTTATTAGTATAGATAGATAGTTTAATAACTGTGTGATTCTGTGTAATGCCTTCTCTATTTTACATACCTTTATGCATTTTACTTACTCTTATGAATTTTTCTTATTTGATAGGATTTTAATTCCTTCTTTGGGCTCCATAGTAATCTTTGTCTCAGATGCTTAATAAATATGCTGTTTTCTCCATTATTTTATGCAAGAAAAATGTTCATTTTGTTTATTAGCATCTACAGTTTTAAACATATTTCCAAAAAAATGAAATTTTCCATATTTAAACCCATTTTAGTGGTTTGCCCATCTCAGCTGCAATATTTATATTAAATTATCCTGTATTTCCCTGATTTCCCTTTCTTCCTGTTTGTCAGTAACAAAAATAAAGCTAGAATTTATCCCTTCTGTTAGATTATTTTCTTATTTGCCTTAGTAATAAAATGAAATTACTATTGATGCCAAATCTTGTCAATTATCTAGTTAGCCTGCCATATTCATTGTTTCTTTTCATCTTGTTTTCTCTTTTTAAATTCTGTTCACAATCTTTCTTTTGTATGTGAAAGATCTCTTTATTGAAAATTCACTTTAAACCTCTTCTTCCAAAAAACTAGATTGACAGAAATCATGAGTTATTTCAAAACAGAAAGTAGTAGTCATCTTTTTTTTACTTGGTACATTGGTAAGTAGTTGGAAGGAACCATATCTTTTCCTTTTCCTTTTCAGAATATACTTACTTTTTTTGGTTTAGGAGTATGTGTTAGTTATCAAGCAATGTACAAAGTTTGCATTTAACTGACTGAAAGTTAGAGATCTTATTGAGAAGATGTAACTTTAAAAATATAGAAATGAAGAAAAGCCCACAGGGTACATTTAAGAAATGTGTATAATTGAGAGGTTTTTTTTAAAAATCTGTTTTCGCTTTCTGAAACCACCAAAGTGTAGATTATGAATTGTTTATATGGTTTTCTTTAATTTAGGAAGTAAGAAAAGTAGCACCAATGTTCCTCGTACAGCAAATCAGGGGAAAAATAGGGAATGTGAAAAGGAAAATTTTTCAAATGGATCCAGGAAGAACAGTCTTGTACTTGAAGAAGTGTCTTTGACTGTCACAAGAAGTCAAAGAATTTCCAGGCGTCCATCTAATTGGTGGATGGTAAAATCAGACCAAAGTAAGTATTTTTATTTAAATTGTTTATTAGGAGCGCCCCCAAAATCATTCTTTAAGAGGCTTTATGTTGGTTTGTATATACTTTCATTCTCCAGAGAAAATCTATTGACAAAGAAATTGGGTCATCAATAGAAATATTACATCAGCTAATTATAAAAATATTCACTGAGGCTCTATCATGTACAGTATTCTAGATGTAGGGATACGTCTATGGAAAAACAAAACAAAAAGCAAAATATTCTAGCTTTCTGGGGGCTTACATTCTAGTGGGAGAAGACCAGCAATATAGATATGTAATTCATGAAGTTATGAGATAATAAAAAAAAAGATAAAGGGTAGAGATGGGAAATAGCAGGGTGGGAGTGGATAAGAGAATAGAGCATGATACTGTTTTATAGAAGGTCATGATGAGAATCCATCATGATCTTTCAGAACACATATGTGAAAAAAGTGAAGGAGGGAGCCATATAAATAACTTTGTGAAGCATTCTACACCAAGGGAATAGTATCTGTATAGGTGCTAATGGAGCATGCTTGGCATGTTTGAGGAAGGTCAGGAAGGCCAGTATGGCTAAAGAAGAGTAAAACCAGGGGAGATGAATTCAGAGAGGCAGGCAATGATAAAGTTTAGATGAAGTGTATTAGGATGCTACTAGAGGATTTAAATGGTAAAGTGACTTGATTGACTTATCTTTTAACATGATTATTCTTATTGCTATGTACAGAGCAAACTAGGGCTGGGTCAAAAATGGAAGCATGGACCCTAGTTAAATTGTTGTAGGGAAGAAATGAAAAAGTTGAATTCATATTTTTATTTTTTTAATATATTTTTATTGATTTTAGATAGAAAAGGAGAGGGAGGGAGGGAGGGAAGGAGGGAGGGAGGGAGAGAGAAAGAAAGAGAAAGATCAATGATGAGAGAGAATCATAGATCGGCTGCCTCCTGCATGCTCCACACTGGGGATCGAGCCCACAACCTGGGCATGTGCCCTGACTGGGCATTGAATAGTGACTTCCTGGTTCATAAATCGACGTGCAGCTGCTGAGCCATGCCGGCTGGGCTGGATTCATATTTTAGAAGGTAACTCACAGGAACTACTGAAGGATTAGAGTTAGAGTCTAGGATGACTTCGGTTTTTGTTTTTTGTTTTTTTCCTGAACAAGTAGAAGAATAGGGCTCTGTTATGAACTGAGATGAGGAAAGGTGTGAAGAAGCAGATTTGGGAAGGATATCAAGATTTCAGGTTATATTATATTAATTTGAAATCAAAGCAGATATATTGAGGAGATAGCCTGATAAATGAGTTTTAAGTTAGGTGGAAAGTTCTGGGAAGACATATAATTAGGAAGTTATCAATATATAGGTGATACTTAAAACTTTGAAACTGCTTGAAATCACTTAGTAATGTATTGTACCTAGTGAAGAAAGAAAGCCAAGGATTGAGTCCTGGGAGACTTCAGTATTAGGAGTCAGGAAGGGATAGGAAGATCTGTCAAATGATACAGACAAGGAACAATTAGTGAGATTAAAGGAAAATGAGAACTTAGGGTAACAGAAGTCATTTTAAGGAATGAGTGATGACTGTTTTAAATACTGTTGGTAGTTTGCATTAGATGAGAGCTAAGAATCAACAGTATGGTTTTGGCAACATGGATGTTGTTGGTCACCTATATAAAAATAGTTTTTGTGGAATGATGAGATCAAAAGCCTGGTTGGAGTGCAGTCCAAGAGAATAGGAGGTGAGGAAGGAAAGATAAGGGGTCATAACAGATGTGGAGTTAAGGAAAGATTCTTTTTTTTTTTTAATATTTAAAATATTACATCAGCTTATCTACTTATTTAAGATGACCTTGTAGGGCCTGCCCAATGTGGATCAGTGGTTGAGCATCCCCCTATAAATCGGAAGGTCATGGTTTGATTCCCTGTTAGGGCACATGTGCGGGTTGTGGGCTCCATCTCCAGTAGGGGACCTGCAGGAGGCAGCCAATCAATGATTCTCCCTCATAATTGATGTTTCTGTCTCTCTCTTCCTTACCCTCTCTAAAATCAATAAAAATATACTTTAAAAGATAAGATGACCTTGTAGGAAGGTATTGGATAAATACAGGATCAAAGTCCTTGAGTAAGCAAGGTGCAGATGTTATCTAGTGCACAGTACCAGGATTATTCCTAGACAGGAGCCAGGACAGTGTGTCATGTAAAAGAGGAAAAGTAGAGGATTGGGGAGAGATGGAAGTAGGTTGGTAGCATTGATGGGGGGAAGATGTACGCTTCTGATCATGTTTGTTTTCTCAGTGAAATGGTAAGCAAGGTTATTAGGTAGAAGTGAAGTGAGAGAGGCAATAATGAGATTTTGATGTTTCTTTACAGGGAAAGGATACAAAGCAAAATCAGCAGAGAAAGTGCATGGGCAAAGTCTGAAGGAAATCCAGTTAGACTTTCCAAGAGTCTTCTCCTAGTCAGGAGGCACTTAATTCCTCCAGCAATGAGTGATGATAGATGTATGAAATGTTCACTAGAAATTGGGAAGGGAATTAGAGTTGAGTGCACAAGGTTTTCTGGGGGTGGTCACCTAGGTATCCTCTGCTAGCAACTATTAAAATTCCAGGCTCCCTGAAGGAAAACAAATATTTCGCACAAGTTGTATCTTTTGCACAAGCATTTTAGGCATACTAAACCACACTTATCAGTTAGGAAATGATGGGAACCCTTTTGAAATTCAAGTTCTGACATGTTAGCCAAGGGCTTTCTTTGCAAGCAGGCATTTCTATAAAGATTCTTGGGCCTCCTATGCCAAATCTTTTCTGTACAGCATGAAACATTTTGTGTTTTGTAAAAAACTTTATTTTAAAGGAAGTGGTTATGTAAAGATTGGTAGATGACAAGGTAACATTTACATATACAGATACTATCAATGGTGGCACATTTAGATCAATAGTGAGAGACTAGTACAAATATGGCCCTACATCTATGAGGTCTTATTGCTCTGAATTTTTGAATTGTTGGGATCTTTGATTAATAGTAAGAAATATTTATTCTGTTGCAGCCTTCCTTAGATTTTGGAGTTATCTTGAGTTCAAATTATGATTCCTCTACTTTGAGTAGATTACTTTGCTCAGTTGCTAACTCCATAACCTATGATTGACAGTACTTCTATCTCCTTAAGTTGTTATAAGGATTAAATTGCATATAGTTAGTATTAAAATGTTAAATATTACTGTTACTCCTTTGGAGAACTCATTGATGTTTCTCCCTCTCTGAAATCAATAAAAGTATATTTAAAAAAAAAGAAATGATGAGGATCCCTGTTATTGACAAGCAGGAGAGCATAAAAGAAGCAGATTTGAGAGGCATTAAAAAAGGAGAACGGAGAGGGTTTAGGGATTGATTGTGGATAGGGGCAGGAGTCTTAGATGACTTGGATTTCTGCTTCAGGTAGCTGGATAGATAGTTTTACTTTTCATTAAGACAGGAATCAAAACCAAAGAGGCAGGTACATGCTAGAAGATAGTAGCATGTTGATAGTAATTAAAGTTACAGATACATAGGTGCCTCAAAGAATGTACGTAGAGTGAGAAGCTGAAGCTGGAACCTTCGGGAATACCAGGAGCATAAGGTAGCTACAAGAGTATTAGGCAGGCCAGAGAGGGTGGTTTTGGAAGCTTGTGATAAATTTAGAGTTTCATGAATGTATCAAGAAATGGAAGAGAAGTAAAGTTTATGAATTTAATTTGAAAACAAATGTAGGCAATGGGATTGTTGTGTGTGTGTTTATTTGTAAATATAATTAATGTTAGTATTTCAGTGATCCAGATCATCTGGATAAATATTATGTTAACTTTAAGTTATCATTGATTCTTTCAGGTCTTTTTTATAGCAGTACTTCAGTAAGAAATGAATTGCCAGTACGTGACAACAGTGGGCGAAAATCTGCTAAAAAAACAAATCAATCATCTAAGAATATTGGGGGAAAAACTGTTCCACTCAAAGGACGGAAGAAAACTACAGGCCGCTCAAAAACACAGAAGATTTTAAATGCAAAAGATTCGAGAAGAATTATTGACCATAATGAAATTTCTGGATCTTTCCCAAATGAATATTTGGAATGTGATGAGGCAGACATGGCTAAAAAGAAAGATGTTAATCATTCTGGGTAATGTCTGTTATTATTAAAGATAGTTATTTTTGTTCAGCATTTAATAGTTTGTCTATGTTGTCTGATCATTTATAGAAAAGCAGTTTAGCATAAATGGCTGTGCAGCCTGACAGAAACGGTAGCCAGACTCTGCCATAGCTGGGTGACACCCCAGGCAAAGTAGTGCTCTAAATTTATTTGCTCATATTTAAATGGGAATTAATATTTGGCACATGGGAGATGAGTGATAAATAATTGAAGTATTATTGTTGCCTGAGAGTTACTTTTTTTTATTGTGATAAAAAAAATAACAGAACATTTATCATCTTAATCATTTTTAAGTATACAGTTTAATTTGCTTCCTTTTAAATGAAGTTAATGTGATTTTCATAATTAGGAAAACATCATAATACTCCTTCTCCTAAGATGATAATAATTAACATATTGAGTGCTTATCATGTACCAAGTACTTGCTAGATGCTTTCATTGAATTCTCATCAGTCCTAACAACGTAGAGAATTAAGTATTATTGGGGTTTTTTATAGTTTTAATTTTCAAGGTACCTTATTTTTAAAAGAGACTTTTGGCCTGTAAATATTGTTCTTATGCATTTTTACTTATGATATAGCATTCTTTCATTCACTCAACAAATAATACATATTATGTGTAAGAAACTGCAAGATGATGTGGATATACCGAAATAAATAATAGAGTGCCCTAAAATATATTAGTGTATGTCATTATGGTACCAAAAGAAATCCCATACACATTCTATTTAACTTGTTCACACCATTCTCATATCTTCTTTCTCAGTCAGTTTCTTTCTTTAACTGAAATATTTCATATATATACAAAACAAAGTAACACCTGATTCTCCATGATCTCACTTAAGAAATAAAACATTATAGTGACTATTGAAATCTCGTATGTGCCTTTGTTGAGCCCATTCTTCTTTCCCTTGTTAGAAGTAGCCACTACACTGAATTTGGTAGATATCACTATCATGGATGTTTTTATATTTTTTCCTACATGTACATGTATATATAAATAGCATGCCATATTGTTTTAAAACTATGTAAAAGTGGTTTCAGATTGTACATATCCTACTCTATCTTCTTTTTTCCACTGTTCATTATATACTTCTGAGATTATTCATGTTGATAAATGATTTATTTTCATTCCTTTATAGTGGAGCTTTGCAAACTTTCCTTAAAGGGCCAGATAGTAAATATTTTAGGCTTTGTCGGCTAAGCGGCAAAATCAAGGCTGTTATGTAAATACTTAAATAACCATTTAAAATGTAACCTTTACAAAATGTAAAAATTATTCTTAGCTCTTGGGACTTAAAAAAACAAGTGGCTGGTTGAAAATATGAAAATGTATTCTGATTCTAGCCTCTTGATAAGGTTTTCTAATTTTTCACTATTAGAAAAAATTTTTCCGTGGACATTTTATATATGTTTTCATGTGTACATGTGTAAGAGGTTTCCTGTAGCATTATATATACCAAGAAATAGGCTGACTAGGGGTATCAAAGAAAACAATTTCAGTTGTTTGTAAATTTTCTAAAACACTGTGATAGATTAACTGTTGTATACATTATAAAATGCCTGTAGATAATGTCTTCTGTGTCCCCATTTCCATCTTAGGCCAGGTGTGTGCCATTTTTCTTACCAGAATTTTTCAAATTAGAACTTTCTTGATAGGTCCTTGAATCAAATGTCCTTCCTGGGCTAATTGTAAGTCCTAGGACCTGAACAGGCTTAGCTGTTATTAACAATATTGTCTACCCACCTGTGTGTTGTTTCAGGAAGAAATATTTTATGAAGAAATGTAAATAATTACAAACTTTTCATTTTTATAGAGTTGCAGGAAGCTCAAAAGATGAAGATAGTGTTATGACCGCTAAAAATGTTCATCTAAAACCTCAGAGCAGTGGACATCCATGCAAGACACCAGCAGAGTCTGACTCTGATTTTGAAGAACCTAAAACTTTAGTTTTGGAAGGAAGGTATGCATATGTTCTAAGGATCATAGGATTTACTCATTATGTTAGTTATTCATTGCTGTGTAACCAGTTGCCTCAGCTTAATAGTGGCTTGCAAATATTTATTGTTTCATAGTTTCTGTGGGTCAGAAATCGGGGATCAGCTTAGTTGGCTAGTTCTTGCTCAAGAATTCTCCTGAGGTATTTTATTCAAGATATCTGTCTGGTGTGTAATCCTTTGAAGGCTTGACTGGAACCTGAGGATTTACTTACAAGGTGGCTCCTCCGTATGGCTGTTAGCTGGAGGCCCCAGTTTCTTGCAATTTGGTCCTCTCCATAGCGCTATTCAATATGGCAGCTAGCTCCCCACAAAGCAAGTGATCTAAGAAAAAATATGACTTCAGTGGAGGTCAGAGTGTCTTTTAATGTCTCCGAAGTTGCACACTGTCATCTCCACTTCATTCTATTCATTAGAAACAAGGCACTAAGTCTAGACCACATTCAAGGAGAAGAGAATTAGGCCCTGCCTCTTGAAAGGAATTCCACAGATTCTTCAATCTGGTATACTCAGGGAGCAAACCAGTTAACCTATTCTTATAATATCTGAAGTCATATACCCTTTTTAAAAATGAAGGAATGATAAATTATAGCAGATTCTGAGATTTAAGGGATAGCTAAGAGTTCTTTACTATTTGGTGGGTTATGACTGCAAGGCCTATAATAGGTTCATAATAGGAGGAAAGTGATCTAGGACTGAGATAAGCTAAATCATCTTTTATAATTTCTGGACTATATTTTAAATTCCTCTTTTAGAGTAGTTTTTAAAAAAATTAAGCTGATTTATATCTACTTTTATTTCTTACAATTATTTTTATCAAAATGTTATTTGAGCCGAAACCGGTTTGGCTCAGTGGATAGAGCGTCGGCCTGCTGACTGAAAGGTCCCAGGTTCGATTCTGGTCAAGGGCATGTACCTCGGTTGCGGGCATATCCCCAGTGGGAGATGTGCAGGAGGCAGCTGATCGATGTTTCTCTCTCATCGATGTTTCTAACTCTCTGTCTCTCTCCCTTCCTCTCTGTAAAAAATCAATAAAATATATTTTAAAAAAAATGTTATTTGATATGAGTTAAATTCATTACTCTGGTCCATGAGTTACTTTAAAAGGCTATAAAACTCAGAATTTATCATGTTTGACAGTCAGTTATAGAATTAAATTGTAGATTCTTTGTTTTATACAGCAAGTAAGTATATTGATAACCTATAACATTGCTATTGGTTTATAAGAAAGAAATCTTTTGTCAGTTTTAGGAGAAAAATTACCTTTAAGATAGATTATTAGATATATGCATTATGAAAACAGAGATTTTATGGTTTGCATTTTTTTTTCTTAAGTGGACCTTTCAGACTCAAGAATTATTTAATGTCTGCAAAGAATAATTCAGATGTAGATGATGAGGAAGTTCAGGAAAATTCAGGTAAGTTATTTTCTATTGTCTTGATTTTTTATGACATCATACATATGGAAATAGGTGTGCTGTATTTTTATTTAAATTAGCACCAATGGCAAATGTGTTTTAAATACTTACTCTTTTTTTAAAATTAAATCTTTATTGTTCAGATTATTACAGTTGTTCCTCTTTTTTCCCTCCATAGTTCCCCTTCACCCGGTTCCCACCCCACCCTCTGCTCTTCCCGCCCCCCCACACTGTCCTCACCCATTGGTGTCCGATTTTTGTCTAGTCTCTTCCTGCACCCCCCGCACCCCTTTCCCCCCGAGAATTGTCAGTCTACTCCCTTTCTATGCCCCTGATTCTATTATATTCACCAGTTTATTCTGTTCATCAGATTATTCACTTGATTTTTAGAGTCACTTGTTGATAGATACGTATTTGTTGTTCATATTTTTTATCTTTACCTTCCTCCTCCTCCTCCTCCTCTTCCTCCCCCCCCCTCCCCCTCCCCCCTTTCTTTTTTCCAGAGTTGAGACATGGGACCTAGAACATCCTATGCCAATAAGACAATATTCAAAACATGATAGAAATATGACAAAAGGACATATGGACCAGTTGAAAGGATACCTACTAGCCAAATATGGCATAATTTAAGTACTAGAATAAACAATAAATGTCACAACCCATTAAATAAAATAGGAACCTAATAGTAGCCCATAATCCTATATAATAAAAGCCTAATATGCAAATCAACCAAATGACGGACTGAATGGCGGATCAACCAGCAGAACAACCAGTTGCTATGACACACACTGACCACCAGGGGGCAGATGCTCAATGCAAGAGCTGCTCCCAGCCCACAGGCCCTGATCACCCTGCCAGTTGCCCCACAGATTGGCTCTGATCACCTGCCATGGAGCTGTGAGCCCAGTTTCTGGCTGAGCAGCGCTCCCCCTGTGGGAGTGCACTGACCACCAGGGGGCAGTTCCTGCATTGAGTGTCTTCCCCCTGGTGGTCAGTGCATGTCATAGCGATGAGTCATCCTGCTGTTTGGTTGATTTGCATATTAACCTTTTATTATATAGGATACTTTACATACCATACAGTTAACCATTTATAGTATACTAAAGGCCCGGTGCACGAAAATCATGCACTCGGGGGGGGGGCGGGGTGGCAGTGTGGTGGTCCCTCAGCCTGGCCTGTGCCCTCTCCCAGTCCGGGAGCCCCTGGGGGATATCCGACTGACAGTTTAGGCCTGCTTATATCTACCTTTCAGGAAATGCATATTACATACAAATTTGTATCAGAAATTTTAGCCGGTTCATGGACATTAAGTGTTCCATATACATATTGCGGTAAAACCCTCCAAAACTTGGAGGCTTCAGATAAAAATTGTTTTTTATCTCTCATGGTTCTGTAGGTTGCCTTGGCTTAGCTGGGCAATTATCACTCAGGCAATGTATACATTTGTAGTTAGATGCAAGCTTCTACGCTGGAGTAATTTGAAAGCTCAACTGGGCAGGAAGTCCAAAAGTGCTTCTTCAGTTACATTATTTGGCATCCAACCAAGGTAACTAGAACAGTTGGGAGCTGGCCAAACATCTCTTCTTCTCCACATGACCTTGCCATGTGGTTAGCATGGATTTCTCATAGTTTGGCAGTCTTGGAATAAGGAGTCTTCATATATGGTGGCTCTCTGTCCCCAAAGGGAAGATCAAGATGCTCAGGTGGAACCTGCATATCTTTTTAGGACTTAGCCTTTGACATTCCAGAATATCATTTCTGCTGCATTGTTAGTCAAGCAAGTCACTATAGCCAGTAGAGATTCAAGGAGAAGGGAATTAGACTCCATTTCTCCATAAAGAATATTTGTGCAAAGGAAGAGAAAGAATTATTGGCAGCTATGTTTAGATGCTATTTACCACACCAAAGTTGAAAGCCTCTGACACACTGCTAAATTCAGTATAGTTGTACTATTTTAGAGTTTTAAAGATCATAGATTACTTTATTAACATATTGTTAATTATTACACCCTGCATTTTTATCCACCAATGGCTTATTTCAACTGAAGTCCACAAGCAACAGAAAATCTGTTTTTTATTTTTAACTCCTATGCTCTTTAGATATATTCATTGTACCAAAATCTAGAGAAATGTTATACTGTCTTTCATTAGTCTTTATTAACAGTGAAAAGCAGAAGGAGTAATAAAATGCATTTTCAGGTCAAATTTTATTTAACCCTTTTCGGTTCAACCTCAAGGCTGACTCGACCAGGCGCTAGGAACAGGTCCAACGTCAAGCAATAAGAACATTAAAAAGTTTAACATTCAATCCTGTCAATTAATTTGGACCAGACTGTTTGAATTCCAAAAATAACATTGGACCTCGAAGGGTTAAAATACTTATACTGAAGTTAACCAAGTAATACATTTTAGCTAAACATGAAATCAGTGCCCTTGTTTATGAAATTATCTTTTGCATTTTGCAGATAACTCAAGAGTAAAAAGATTTGGAGTGGCACAAAAGAACAAAATACATCATAAATTAGGTAAGATTATTTCTGTCTTTTAATGTTTTAGAACCTCTGGTGGTCAGTGCATGTCATAGGGATGAGTCATCCTGCTGGGTGAGAGTCATCCTCTGGGTGAGAGGCTGATGGCTGTTTTCAGGCTGGCCAAACCCCCTTTAGGGTGGGGGGTCCCCACTGGGGTGCCTGGCCTGTCTGGGTGAAGGGCTGAGTGCCGTTTTCATGCTGGCTAAGCCACCCGGCGACGGGAACTCCCAGCCTTTCCTTTTTTTCTTTTTTTTTTTTAAATTCTGGGATTTATTTACCTTCTATAATTGAAACTTTGTAGCCTTGAGAGGAGCTCAGAGCCGGCCAGGGCGGGTACGGGGGAAGCCTCCTTCTCGCTCCAGCTTTGTGCCCACTGCCAGCTGAAAGCAAGTGTCTGGGGTTTATTTACTTTCTATAATTGAAACTTTGTTGCTTTGAGTGGAGCTCAGAGCTGCTGCGGCAAGTGGGAAGCTTGGCTTCCTCCATCATTGGGGCAACCAAGCCTCCTTCTCGCTATAGCTCCGTGGCTGCCGGCTGCCATCTTGGTTGGGTTAATTTCCATATAGTCGCTATGATTGGCTGGTGGGCATGATGGCCAATTTGCATGTTTGTCTTTTATTAGTGTAGATAGGTGATTCCTATGGACTAGGAGTCCAGGCACAGATTAGGTGGGTCACCTGTTTAAGGGTTTTATAGGCTGTAGTCAAAAGTGTCAGCCTGAGCTGTAGTCTCATCTGAGTCTTAGAGTCCTTTTCCAAGGTCATGTGCTTGTTAGCATAATTTAGTTCCTTGAAATGGTAGGACTAAGGTACCTGGGTTTTTTTTGTTTTGTTTTTTCAGCTTCTATAGGCCACCTGCCAGTATGGCAGTTTGCTTCTTTTCATAGGCCACTCAAAGTATGGCAGCTTGCTTCTTCAAAGTCACCAAGGAAGACTTTCTCCCTGCTTTTGCTAGATAGTGTTTTATGTGTATAATATCTGTACATTGTCATATATATATATATATATATATTTTTTATTTTTAATATATTTTACTGACTTTTTACAGAGAGGAAGGGAGAGAGATAGAGAGTTAGAAACATCGATGAGAGAGAAACATTGATCAGCTGCCTCCTGCACACCTCCTACTGGGGATGTGTCCACAACCAAGGTACATGCCCTTGACTGGAATCGAACCTGGGACCTTTCAGTCCGCAAGCCGACGTCCTATCTACTGAGCCAAACCAGTCAGGGCTGTACATTGTCATATATATAATCCTAATGGAATCACAGGAGTGACTTCCCATCACCTTTGTCGTATGCTATTCATGAGAAGAGATCACAGGTCTCACATGCATCCTGGGGGAGGGGAGTATACAGGGCCTAACCTCAGTACTGATGAGGGTGTATCTACTACTTAATGCTAATGTGATTTGGGATTTATAAGTGCTAAGTAAGGATTTTCATGATAATACTTTAAAATCCAGATTATTTTAAAAGTTGGTCTGGTGGGGAGGAAAATAGGGGCAGAAAAGGGATAATACAAGTACAGTAGTTCATTCTTATCCATAGTTTCAGTTATCCGTGGTCAACTATGGTCTGAAAATATTACATGGAAAAGTTTCAGAAATAAACAGCTCTAGCTTTAAATTGCCTGCCATTCTGAGTAGTGTGATGAAATCTTGCACTGTTCTGCTTCATCCCAATCTGGGATGTGAATCATCCCTTTGTTCAGGGATGTTTCAGTGTATCCATGCTTTAGTTACTTAGTAGTTGCCTGGGTTATCAATCTACTGTTGTGGCTTTGCAGTGCTTGTGTTCAAGTAACTCGTATTTTACTTAATAATGGCCCCAATGTGTAAGAATAGTGATGCTGGAAATTCAGATATGCCAAAGAGGAGCCATAAAGGGCTTCCTTTAAGTGAAAAGGTATGTATGTATAGGAGAAACATAGTATATGTAATGTTTGGTACTATTTGCAGTTTTGGGCATCTATTAGGGGTCTTGGAACATATCCCCAGTTGAAAAGGGGGGACTATTGTAGCCTGAAAGTGTTTCATTTTACCAAATGACAAAAAAAGAGAATAGCATATCTTCATAAGGAATATAGTTTTTTTATATAATCACGAAAAAAATAGGAGTTTGATGTTTTGAGTGTCAGGAATGGGAAGGTAAGCAATAGTAGAGTGAAAAAGCACAGTACAACTTTAAAGTCACCAAGGAGAGAGGGGAGAAAAGAAATGGTCATTTGATCAAACCAACAAAAATTAGAAGTATCACTAATATAACTTAAAATATAAAATAAGATGGAAGGAATAAAGGTCAGGTTGTTACACTAAATAAGTATGAATGAATTGAATTCCTCTACTAAGAGACTATCAGATTTGGTTCAATAATACAAATTCACCTATATGTTTTAAGGAACACTTAAAACAAGTTTTAAAATAAAAGTTTGTTAAAGAATTAGATAGGCTAATGTAAATAAAAATAAAATAG